CAGCATCTTCTTCATAAAGTATAGCCTGTGGAGTGTTTGGGGGGATTTTGAGGTAATGCAGGCACCCGTATATGAGAGGGGGGAATTGTTGGAACAACACTGTTCTAATCCATCAGAAAAATTATGAAAACCTTCCTTTTTCAACAAATTTTCAGCTCCAGCTGATTAGTGAATAGGCAATACCTCCATGGATGCATGCTTTTGCCGAATCCCTTGTTGAATCTTTGTCCAATTGATTATGTTTTTTGGAAGCCCAACCTGGATGTCCAGCCTGGTTACATTCACAGAAACCAAGGAGAAGGTTACAGTTCAATCATGATTCATACCTCAAAGCAGATGTTTTCACCTTCCTTGTCGCAATCCAGCCACAGAACAATGTAATCACAACCTCTCCCTTCCACCTGAAATGAAAGGAAATATACATTTCATAGACTGTTAAATGGCCTATCCAGTTTGGTACCTGCCAGATGGTTAAGATTCCATTTTCTAGAATTTCTACCAGTTTGGTTAGCTGCAAGAGATGTGCCATAAGTGGCAAATGTTTACCAGAGTTTCAAGAAGAAGAAACGTCTATCTCACCATCCTAAGCCATAAACTATGTCTTGCAAAGCCACATTGGTTGGGTTCACACAACACATTAAACCACTGTTTCTCAACCTTAGCAACTTTCAGATGTGTGGACTTCAACTCCCAGAATTCCTCAGCCAGCTTGCTGGCTGGGGAATTCTGGGAGTTGAAGTCCACACATCTTAAAGTTGCCAAGGTTGAGAAACACTGCACTAAACCAAGCTGATCACATTATGGCTTAGTGTACAGCTTTTAAATCTAGCTACCCAAAGCTCTTCTAAAAAGATCATCCTGGCTCTTGCAATCATATCAATAAATACATTTATAAGCAAACTCCAAAGAGCTAAGTACCTGTAAGAATTTCACCATGTTTAGTTTCGGATTTGCTTCTTTCTTTTCAGTTGGAGCTTTACTAAAAAGTTCTGCCGGGTCAACTTTATCCCAATTGTTGTATTTTCCTAAAAAGGGTGACAGAATTAAATGCCGAACTCATGAACTTAAACCAAACATTTGGACAAAGGCAGCAAACGGATTTTGGAGAGAAGAGATTCGGAGATGCTTTAAAAGGATGATGCACCTCAAGTCATCAAGGCAAGCCTGGGGTTTGTTAATTCAAATCAGAGCCTTCTATTTTAAAAACAGCAAGCCATAATGGCCTGGCTCACCTCTGACATGAAGCCATAAAGCACAATTTACCAATCTTAATGAAGCTCCAGTAAATCCAAAATTAAAAAAAATACAGTATAGTTTGCACAGCTTGTGAACCTCTTCAACTCTCCTTTTTCCAACCTGGAGGTTGATATAATTCTATATCACCTAAAAGGGGCCAATCAGGGTTACCCTCAGCCAGTTTCCCTCCAAATCAGACTCAGAAACCCAGCTTACAGGGGCTGCATTCCCACCTGCTTAACTTACTTATTTTGTTAACCCAACTTTCTGGATTCACACAATCCACTGATCCCTAAACTAATCAAACGGGGCTGGTTTAACCTAGCACAGCAAAAAAAAACAACTAAAGTTATCCTTAACCAAGTTTACATAGGCTGTGAAAGCCTCTATGGGATCATCCTCAGACCTGGCGAAGCAGTGTGTGAAAATGGCCACTTTGTTTTAGACTTCTGGTTTCAAGGCAAACTGTGACTTGCAGTCTCATTTCTTCTATGTCTTGTGAAGAAGGAGAATTTTATTTATGCTAATTTATTGTGAGGTCATGGGAGGCTTGTGATAAACTGAACTCCATAGCCTGAAGTTTTTTGAGATGTTGGGAAGGTCCCTGGTTGAGATTCCCTTCAGCTGGCTCTGCATCTCATCCCTCTTGCTTCCAACTAACAGTAGAGTAGAAGAATATAGTGGGCCAGGTGGGATCCATACCTATAAAATCCAGTGTCATCACATGACCACACACTGACGTCATCTTGAAGTGGACATTTTGTCCAATGAAAGGACCAGTGAATTCATGCACAGAGCATGCCCCATTTAACCCTTTGCGGGAGGACATGTTCCCTACACAATAGAAAAAGGAACAATACCATAAAGGAAGGGCAGATATTACAAACATTCTCTCAAGTTACAATGTCAAAGAGACCTTTTAAGAAAACAAATAAAATGGAAAAATGAGACAGCAGCACACATCAAGGTATTAGTTGCACAATAACGGTTTCGATCTTAAGGTAAATTACTTGTTATTAACATTTTATTAATTTTCATTTTATTATATATTCATTATATTTAATTTTGAAGAAAAGGCCAATAATTATAATGCTTGGAACATGAACATTCAAAACTGTAATTAATATCCATTTTTTTCACTTATTTGCATTTAATATTCTAACATACTGTTAGAATATTAAGAACTTAAATTCTTAATATTCTAACCTAATAGAATATTAAGAAGTTTATTCAATATCATTCTATCGAAATAACATATTGTACTAAAACTGAGAAGATGGAGCAATATGGCTAGATTTAATAATATGTTAAAGGATTGAGCGAGTTTTATATTAACAGTTTATGGATATACTTTTAGTTTCTACAAATGTTACTCACTTATTCATTATCCTATATATTTTTTCTGATTTTACTAGCACTGGTAGTATTTTTGGTTGTACTTTATCATAACTTCTGATTGTTATATTTGCCAATAAATATATATAAAAAGAAAAGAAATAAAGAAATAAAGAATTGAGAATTGCTTATGGGATTACTTAAATTATTTTCAAATTGGAGGTGAGTTGCTTTTGATGAAACCAGCAATCTATGACAGTCTTTACTGATTTCCTTCTAAATATTTATATATTGTTTGTACCATACAGCACCTCAAATTATCAATACCAAGTTGCAGTCTAGAAACCCTTTCAATGTGGTAGCCCCCACCCCTGAGATAAATAATACCAAATCATCAAGTAATAACAGTGGCTGTGCAGATAAATCATCACCCTGTCTATGATGGTCTAAAACAATCTCAAAGGAATACCATTTGTTAAAGAAAACAACCTGCAATAAGCTAAAAAAAAGTTACAACTTTAAAAAAAAATTCAGTACCAATCTCTAGAACTTCAACCTCTTTAAAACTCAAAAAAGCTTTTAAAAAACTTTTGGAATAGCTAGTAAAATCTAGCCATCCTTAATTTAAAGCATTAAAGTTACCCCCCGAAAAAGAAAAAAAATAGCCAAAATGGATTTAAACCTGCCCAATCAGAAATACAGCCCAAATGATTTAGCCACAAAGGGCAGAGAAAGAAAATGGAAATTCCTCCAAACCTCTCGAAAGAATTTTGGCGATGGATTGAGCAAGAGAGGGCTTCTCGGCTACCATGAGGACTATCTTCATCTTTAGCTGATGGTGAATGAAGCCTTCAGACTGGAAGAAAATGTTTCAGCCTAAGCAAGAGAAAGCAAAAAGCAAAGTATTATTGAATACTTTGGTATGTGGGGGGGTGCTGAAAAATTCAGTTTCTCTTCTCTCTTTGCCCAGGACATCTGCCCGCCCAGTGCCTAATAGTACCCATTTTGAAAACTCTCTTCCAGTACCATTTACCAGATTTAGTGTGCAAATGTTTATTAGGTATAAACACTTTACAAAACATCTATGCTGTAATCGTTTGCTAATGTCAGCAGTTCTCAAAGTGTGGTCTGGGGACCCCTGGGGGTTCCCAAGATCCTTTCAGGGGGTCTGCAAAGTCAAATAAACATTGAAGATTTCTTAGTTTTAATTTCGAACACAGTACAGATGGATAGATATGACCCAGATCAACCGAAGTTCTTTGGGGTCTTCAATCATTTTTAAGAATGTACAGGGGTCCTGAGGCCCAAATGTTTGAGAACCACTGGCCTATGTTCACATGACATGGTTACCCCTGGTTTACTGAACTAATCCAATCTTCTTGGCTCACCCCACACAACCACCCACAACTTGGACAACCACAAATCACGAGGCTAAATGTACAATTCACTAACTTGTACTTCGGTATCTCATATAAATAACAGCCTTCCTTGCCCATCTCAGAACCGAATGGGGCTTTACATTTTGCCCACATAAACACCAACATTTGATAATTAATTAACCATTAACCACGGTCACCCTTTTTTCATTTCAATTCAGTCTTGCATTTTGGCGGTGTCAAAATCTTTTCCCCCTTTATTCTTGTTCTTCTGTCTTGTTTAACATTTTGATTTTAAAGATGCTAACTGTGGACGTCTTCACTGGGTATATGTCTTACTGAGTTGCCATAAACTGCAGTAGGCCATTTGGGTTTGAAGGTGTACGAACAGAATCAATCAATACATTGCAAATATAAAAGAGAAGGAGGGAGGGAAAGTGGGAAGTAAGCTTCTAAATAATAATAATGATAATGATGATAAAGATAATGATAAATTGAACTTGTATGCTGCCCAACTCTCAATGGCTCTGGGCAACTATTTCTGCTTTATGTTAGGGTTAAGCTAAGCATTCACATGAGTGTATCTGCAATCCCAAAACATCTGGAGTACCACTTGAAGACCATCAGCATTGACAAAATCACCATC